ATATAACATAGATTTGGTATGTGCTGGAGTTAAAGGATACTTATTAGAAGAGCAGAGTGAATGTTTTCAGAATGCAAATTTAGGAAATTTAAATAAGCTAATTAAAAGAAAACTAAAGGATCTCGGATTCACAGTAAGAATTTACCAAAAAACAGAGGCTATTCTCGGTGCTATACACTCTCAACTCCATTGATAAAGTATTTTTGAAACCTCAACTATTGGATATTGGGTTCGTCAGGGGAGAATTTAGAGTAGTAATATTGTTATCTAGATTTCTAAAATAGCTTGTTACAGCTAGTTTATTTCTAAAAGCCAGGAACTATTCAAATTTTTAGTATATCTCTTTTAATCAATTAACTCTTCTTGTATGTTTAACTTGTTATTTTTTCTTTTTTTTCAATTAATTCACCTATTACCTCATTTATTATTCTAAATATTCTTTCTTTAAACTTATCTCTTTCTAGTATATTTTAATTTACTATTTAATAATTACTTTTATTAATTTATTACATTATCATTATGGACTTCTACCAGATATTAAAATGTGCATAACAAATTATGAATTTTACAAAATTTTATTGGTATGTAAAACAGTTTTCTTATATTTTTTAGTATGTTCATTATTGTTAGTTTAGCATTTATTTTTTATTATTATGCTATGTTTATTTCTAACCCGTAAACCTTTGAATTATTAATTATTTCATTTTAATGCGTTTAGCTTAAATTGTTCAATAACCTCATCTATATTGATTTGTATTAACCATTTTGGAGTCATCTTTGGTAAATAATGCATTAATTTAATACTCCTTCTGAGTAGAGTGTTTAATTCGATATTTTCTTAGATTATTAATCCATAATTGGGAACATATATTAGAAACATGCACCAATATATGTTTACTCTATTTTACAACAAAATTCTTAATTTTAATGTGTAGATATATTGTCAAATCATAAGAGCTTAAAGAACAATTTTTAAATCTTTTTAAAATGTTTAAGTTAATAAATCATCATCAATTTTCCACTTTTTATCTTTCTCTCTTCTTTTAAAGGAATTCTCAAAACCTCACAATTAATTTCCTGATTTTATTTGAAATATATCTCATATCATTGTTCATAATGTTTCTTCCAAATCTTGAAGGGAAATAGTATAGGCAATTATTTTATCTAGTTATTTTATCCCTCTATCTAACAATCTTCCATTCGTGTTCTTTGCATTTTACGTTTGAGTATCTCCACTGATCATTATCAAAGTATCCATAATTTGGTTTTTTCTCTTATTTTATTCGTATTTATTCTTTGATGTTCTTATTTCCCTTGTTATTCCACGTTTTCTTATTTTTGCTTTCATATACCTCCATTTTTTTATCCAGTTTCTCTATCATCTTTGCTTACCTTCTCTTCAATGCATTTATTTCTGTTTAGTAGGGTGCTCTGTGAAAACCCGTTGAGTGAGCTAATAATGGTTAATTCTTTCCTCTTTTAGGGTTATTTTTAATCTCCTGTGTTACTATAAATTCATTCATAGCTTCAGTTTATTCATTTGAAGGTGATTTAGATTAACTCTTTTTTACTAAAATATTTAGTTCAATTATTCTTAATTGATCTACTTTCTAAAATGTTCTCATTTTAACTAAAGACAGAATTATTTTTATTTTCGATATTTGTTTGTTTCTGATATTATTATTTCTTAGTTTGACCAATCAACGCTTCAATTAAAAATTTTTATAGTTTCATGAAATCATTATTTTAGTTCAGTGTATTTGTGAGAAATAAATAGTCTTATGAGGTTAATTGTTAGGATTTTAGTTTTTAATTGTTGAAAATAGGGGGATTGTTTACCAAAAAAAACGTGTTTGCACACATTTAAGAACTCATATTTAAATACAGAATCAAATTTTTAATTAATTTTAATATTTATTTTCCAACATTTGCTGTATGTTTTACAAATTAGTAATATTATTTAGGTTCGTAACATCATTTATCCTCTATTTATGTTAACTTGGGTACTTTAAATTTAACTACTTATATATTATTTGGAATGTTACAACATATATGAATTAATTCCCAAATACTTTTCTTTTATTTTTCCTGATAAAACTAATCTATCTTTTTCTAATGAAAGAAAGGAAGTCCAGACTTCTAAGGGATTTCCACTTTGATTTTATAAGTTTATGCTCTGATGAGTTCAAATTATGATAAAATTTTATTAAATATTTCTGTTCGATGTTACTTTTAGAGGCATACTTCATTAGAAGTTTATCATTTCTTGTTTTTTATCCATTAATATCCTAAATCTATCGATTCTATCAATCATCTGTTTATTGACTTCTTATAGCAGTAATATGTGTGTGCCATAAGTTCTAGAAATTTCTATCTGTTGCCAAACATATGTATCTTGTGTGATTTCCATGAGACATTATATATATATTTCTGTTAAGAATTTTATCTCTCCATCAAGATCAAACAATCCTACATGGCTTTCCTCTTGATAAATCATCGAGATGGTTAAATCTAACTTGGTCTCCTTTACCTCTATTTATGTCACCAAAAGACTAATGATAAAGACTCATTTATTGTCTTAGGACCAATTTTTGATAAATCTCTCATTGTACCCTACATCTACATGGATGCTTTACTTTTTTAAAGATATCAGACTTCCAAGCTGATTTAAATTTACAAGCATTCTAAAATGAATAAAAAAGATATAGATAATATTAATAATTCCAATTAAGGAGATTTAAATATATAGAATAAAAAAATAAAATAAATCATCCTTTTTAAAGAGTTTAAAATTAAATACAACTTGAAAATAATCTAGAAATCTTTAAACAAAATAAATCTCATTAAAATAGAAAGTGTTAGGAAGTGTATAAAATTAAAAAATAATAATTCCTCATAATAAAGCTATCAAATAAATTTATCAAAAATATTTTATTAGATTTTAAAAGTAAAAAGCATCAAAATTTATAGTTTTTAAATTATATTATGATGAAATCTGATTAAAATTCATTGAATCAGCAACATCCTCCTTATTTGGCTTATGGTTTTTGGTTCTATTTGGTTAATGTCACAGTGGTTGGGAAAAATCTAAAAAATGAATAAAAAAAGAAAGAATTACATTTCTTCATCTTTTTCCTAGCTTGCAGCAGCTTTAGCAATATCTTAGAAAGCTTATTCAATATTTGTTGCGTCTTTAGCTGAAACTTCAAAGAATTGTATATTTCCATGTGATTTACACCATTATTATGCTTTAGATTCTTAAACTTTTCTTTCTGTAGCTTTATCTAATTTATTTCCTAACACAACAAAAGGAAAATGTTCTGGATCTTTTGGTTAACCTTACATCAAAAATTCATCTCTCCAAGAATCCAAAGAATCAAATGATTTTGGATTAGTAATATCGTAAACTAATACACAACAATCAGCTCCTCTATAAAATGCACCACCTAATGATTGAAATCTCTCTTAGCCTGCAGTGTCCCAAATCTAATAAAAATATTTTAATTTCAACATACTTAAAGAGTTACCATTCTATCATCAATCATTACTTCTTTTGCCATAAAATCTGCTCCTACTGTAGCTCTATATTATTATGTGAACCTTGCATTGACATATTAATTCATCAATGATGTTTTTCCTACTCTAAAAGATATTTATAATGGAAAATTACCCTGAATCACCTAAGATGATGATTTTAAAAAGTTGCTTCTTCTTGCTGGCCATGTGGAATTAATATAATTAATTATTTATTTATATTACAAATTTCTGATTTTATTTTTAAATTCTTAAATATCGTATTTTATAAGAAAACAAATCTTAAATTCATTTTAATACTCACTTCTTTATAGCCATAAAAAATATACAATTATACATTAAGTATTTTTAATCTAGTTTCGAATGATTATAAGTAGATTCTTTCATTTATTCAAAATAAATCTCAAATCCTTTTTATTTTATATAATGTTTAAGATCCTCATAACTTAATTTTTTGCTTGTTTATTAAAAAGACTCTATTTTACAATATTTAGAAATCTTATTTTAAAAAGAAAGAATAATTCCTAAAAAAAATAATTTATTTTATACTCTACTACTTATAATTTTTAATTTTAATATCTTCTATTTATTCGAAATGATGTTGATGAGAAAGTTTCTATTAGCTGAATTTTTATTAATTCTTAAAATGAATATTATAAATTATCTACAATAAAAACAAATTAATTATTTA